CTGTTCACATATATGGTCTTCCTGTTGTGCAGCCGAGGGCAACCCTAAAATTCCCGCTTGGTGAAGTTTCATTGGAGGAGAAAGAAGAGGAGGAACTAAGGAGAACATTGTCAGTTAGTGGTGTTGTCAAAAGTCAGTTAATGAATGGCCTCTGCACTGCTCAATTTAGTGATGAAGATTTGAAACTGAAATACTGCTACAAGGTAAGGCTATATTTCACTAAGATCGTTTTTGCTTGTCCTGTCCGATTAATTGCCTGGGCATCCTCTTGTACTGGTCCCTGATATCTATAATTGTACAATGAATGTAATTTTTGAATGGATTTTGGATTATGCAAATGAGTAATTTTTGCCCAGGTGGTCTCATGGCTCTTTCTGGATTGATTACATGCTTTATGTTGTGTTTCGGTCTCTTTATAGTGCCTTTATATAGGATATGCTGAAGAGTTTTGAATTCATTGCAGGATGAGGCACTTTCCATTATCCCTAGCATTTCACTGCCTTCAAATGCTTTATCATTTGCATTCAAGCGTCGGTTCACTCCTTCGAATAAGTTGAGGTACTATCTCTATACAGTTTATCCAAATCCAGGGGAGGAGTATCCTCTCTCTCTCTCTCTCTCCATACTCTGAAGTCCTTGTTTCAGGTCTCGTGATGTGTACTTTTGATTTCTTAGGTATGGTTGGGAATGGAAATTAGAGTTATCAATTTGTATCCATAAATGTCCTTTTGACAAATGTGTTAACTTGGATGATGCATGTCCAAGATTTGTATCGCTCCTATAAATGAATGAATGACCTTAGTCATCCTCCATAGTTTCTTGTTTTTAAGAGGGATAAATGTCTGTCTTTCCAGTTAGTGGAGAAGGGGAGAACACACCCTATTAACTTATCCCAATCCGCAGACTTGCGATGTAGCTTGATTGACTGTTTTTCAGGGAATTGAAGAGAGGGTGCAAGTTGCTATCAGATTTTAATATGATCATTTTATTTGGACATTGATCTATGTTAATGTAGATTCTTAAGTGGGTTGTTATGTATTAATGTGTGGTGCAGCTACTGGTACAATTTTGATACTAACAACTGGAGTACTGTGTACAAGCACACCTATGGGAAGGATTTCAAGTTTAAAGCTGGCTATGATTCAGAGGTGCGTCTTGGCTGGGCATCGCTTTGGGTAAGTATTACTATTTATTAAGATTTTCAACCGTTGTTTTTCAAATGATGAAATTTAATGATGGGTGTCATCATTATTTGTCTTCAATTGTAATTATATCTCAACCTATTGGGCAAGTGTCACAATTTTTGCACCTCTGCAGTGACAGAGTCAATGTTGATGGGTCTTCTATCTCTCAATGATAATTTAAACTCATTTCAAGCTTCTTCTGATTAGTGATAAAACCATTGTCATTTTCCCCCTATGTTATAAAGATTAGTAGTTACATAACCACTCTGTTGTACGTGCTAAAGCAGAGAGGGTAGTGCCTCTGATTTTTTGACATTGCATTTTTGAAGTTTTGCCTTTATGATCTACAGATTTAGACCATTTTTCTAATGTATATAGTTTTGGCTCTTTAGCACCCAAAAAAGACTACTTACATTGAAGCATGAATATGAACAACTAGCATAATATTTTACCGTTGCATTGCCAATTATGGTAAGTTTGCATCTCAAAAGTCAGTGCCTTTTTAGGAATTAGGATGCCATGATACTTGGAAGAAGGAAATAGAAATTCAATAACTGAGGATCATAACCCGTTTCACAACTTAGTATGTGTAAAGTAGTCACGTTTCTTATTTGGTAACCGAATTCAAGAGGCTTTAATCTATGACCTTGTAATGCACAATCTCAATGCTGTAGGTTGGAGATGAAGGTGGCAATGCAAAGACCGCCCCGATGAAGATGAAGGTCCAATTTATGCTGCAAGTGCCACAAGATGACATCAAAACTTCAGCACTAATGTTCCGTGTTAAAAAGAGATGGGACATCTAACAGTACGGTCTGTTGATGGGACTCCCTTGTTTCTGTTAAATGCGGGTTCCACTTGAGTAGTTCGGGGTCTTGCCCATCTGTGATATTGCTACATAAGAACGTCAGTTGGTTAATAGTTTCTCCTTGCAAGAAATCTCCCTTCAAGTGTGGGACCTTAAAGTGGATATCTAGTGGAAGGAAGCTCCTGCTGAGATTTTTCCCATGGCATGTTGTTGAATTTGGCATTATTATAATGCAGGAAAGCCTGTTATTCGATCATCCCTTTGCCAAATTTTAGTAGATCTAACAAATTGTTGAATAAAACAAAAATGAACTATGGTAGTTGCTGCTAAATCCTACTGGCTATAAATGGCGGGAAAATTGCTAGTGCAGAAGAGAAGGTTCTTGTAGAGATAAGCTACTCTCTTTACATAAGCGACTGTTCGAATTGGTCGCCATTTAAACAGCCGAAGCTAATTTAACTTGATTTGCCTAGACGTGAACAGGCCAAAGTTGAGTTGATCAATTTTGTCTCAAATTTATCCGAGCGTAGAATGTGTTACTGAAAGCATTTCAGATTGGAAGCATCCAACTGGTTAGCAGACCTGAACGCTAACTGCTCGAAATTTACAATTTAAAAAGTTTGCAACTTGAAAGTAAACCCTGGCCGCAGCCACAGCCAAGCCCCTCGAATGTGGTGGCAGCTACCGTGGCTATGGAATTACTAATCACCTGAAAATAAGTGAAAATGCAAAATTCTCCACTGTAGTCATCCTAGATTCATGTATACCAAGTGAAGCAAATGTCAATTGTCTAGAATAGAATTTTCGACATGAAAGACGTCCTCTTACATGAAAAATTCAAATCCTTGAGACAACTTTTCAACTCCATTAAGTTTTCTATGACCAATAATTGGATCAATGAACTATAAAAATTAGATGCCAGCTTACAAATACAGAAGAAATTGCCGTTTGTAGGTGAGCAACTTAACTATTGTTTCTCATAAGATCCATACATAGTATAGTTACAGGTGAGTTTCAGTAGGTCACGACCAGTTCAATTCAAGGCTTTGCATAACAGAGGTGCATAACAGAGCTGCAATACAAGAACTGTTTGGCTTCAGAAGACTAACATGGTCAAGCCTCTCTTGAAGCAAGATTACTGCCAAAGTTAACTTGGGTTTAACATGCAAATGCTCAGAGAAAGCAGTAAAACAAAAATAACACAGCATGAGAAAAAGAAAAGTAAATGGAAGGAAGCAGACCTCTACATATGTACACACAGCTTTGTGGATCAGGTCGGTCAGTCGTCCTCGTTATCAAGGTCATTATCATCATTATCCTGCTCGTATATCTGATATTCCCCATCACTGCTTTCACCATCATGCTTTTTGTCAACACTGGCGTCCATCAATGGGAAACTATTTAAGAGTTGTTGCAAATAGCTTGTCGAGGTGTTCTCCATATCTAGATGCAGGTGTGTATATATAAGACACACAAAGCAGCAACAATATATGGGCAGGTTTCAATAAAAAGAAAAAAAAAAACAGTGCTATAGAGAGATACAGCAAATTTATTTTTTCTTCTGTGCACATTTAAAACATAACAAAGGATGGGAATGATAAAATGACACAGGAATAAAAATTCAACGAAATATTACCAGCCACACCAGACTACAAACAAAAAGAAAAAACTTCAAAATGCTTTATCAAAGGAAACTGCGCATAAAATGTGTAAAGCAAACATTTGATTACCAAATCCATTCCATATGTATCCAATTCCTCTTCACCACCATCAGATTCAAGTTCGTCCACCTCAACATCAACTTAATTTTCACTAGCTTCATCGTCTACAGCCTCTGCATCATTGTTTTTAAAGGTTTCATGATCTAAAAAGAATTGAGAACCAAACAGGGAAGAATTTAACAGCCAAACACACATTCCTACAGTACTCTCATGCCAACTATTGCAACTATAGCATCATTCAAAAAACAACCTTCACTGATAGCTCAGCCAGAGTTCAGAGCAAGGCGCAAAATAATGAAAGGAAAGAAAAAGAAAAAGTGAATAGATATGAGGAAAAGGAAGAAGAATAAGCAAAGAAAATTATTGCATGCTAGAAAAACCATTGTTTGTAAATATTTTTGATAAATATAAAAGCTCAAATCACTTTTGGTCATAATGGTTTGAAATTCTTACAGATTCGTACTCATGACACTATTTCAAAAAGTGTAGCATGGCAAAACAAATCGGAATAGATAAACTTCATAAAAGATGAATATTACTATTTAAAGCAAAATTTGACAAACAACAAGCGCAGGAGTTAATTTAAACCTTCATTAGTTTGCTGATGCTCCTCCTGAAAAGGTTTTGGTGCATCTTTTGTAAATGCATGCTCTCTTTGACTTCATAAATTTCTCAGAATCAGCTTTGAGAAATTTTTCCGCACCAGTTTCTGGGTATAGTGATAGGAAAGTCACCTTTACACAAAGTCTTAAACTATAATGCACATGCGGTGATAACCATCCTGTTTCATACTGCCAACTAAATTACATTAATCCTTGATATTTAAACACGAACAAACATAAACTACAGAAACAGTTTAGATAAAAACATGAAAGTATATAAGTTGCCTCCATACGATAAATTTTATCCCTGTCATGAACTGTTAACAAGTCATGAATTTATAACCAAACTACCCTCATCCCAAGACATGCAGATGTAAGCAAATCATCATGAATGGTCAATCATTAGAGATTGATCAATTGAACCAAGTAGAGGAATGAAATTTGATTCTTTGTTAGGATTTGCTATTTCTTTAGGATTTTTGTATAGGAATGGCAGGCTACCAGCACGCTTTCCATCAAAGATGTAAAAGTAAATATACCGTAAAAAGCTCTATTTCTTTATGTAGTAGCTCATGTTGTTTATTTAATGGTTTAACAACCTGATCAATCAAACCTGTCTACTAGCCAGAAAATATCCAAATGAAGCAACCCCGAGCAACCCAACAAAGAATTATCAGAATAAGAGGTAGAATACCTTTTAAGTGTCTGGTAGGTAAATTTAAGATTCTTATCAAGCAAGCGTTCAATCAGTGAATATTTGGGCCATATAGGCCACTCCTCAAACAGCTTAGATACAACCATCTGCCACTCCCACATTGGTGTGCCTTCTGTTATGAATTCCTTCAAATTTATTTCCTTAGGAATCTGCATGAAAGCTAAGGGCTGCCAAGTAAAACAAACTAGACTTTGTAGGATATAACTTGAATTTTTTAAGAGTTCATTGTTAGCTTTCATTTTAATGCTTTGTAGTTACTGCTGATGCCTGATGGGTATAATCCATAACTCAACAAATAGGAACGAACACTCATCAAGAGGTCTACACAATAGAAATGCACTACATGTGGTCTGTACACAAGAAACACTTCTTAAACATAAAGAGCTCCCCTACCACAATTTAAAGAAATAAATCCAATCCAAAACATTTTAGAACCACCCTTTAAATCGTTAGAAGGGTGGTTAACCCCATCAAAACATCAATCTATTCTCTTGACATTCATAAGCAATGGAAAGGCCTTGGATACCGAGCAATGTTCTAATGTAAGGATCATTGTAGACAAGAAGGACCTGAAAACATAATTACTCAAGAAATGAAAGCCATGTAACATCAGGATATCTTCAACATCCTTAAAGTCAATACCAAGGGCTGGCTCAAAGGTCATCTGCACAATGGAAAGTAAGAAAATGGTTAAGTTTAGCATAATGCTTTGTGAGTAAGATCTGACAAGAGTAAATGTAATGAGATCTCACTCACACGTGTACAAGCTAATCTTGTAATCTCTGTACATGCCATGAAACCACATTAACATCCCACCTTAGTTCAGTGATGACCAGAAAAACCAATTCATTTTTATTCAATACCTTGGGATGAGTTTCTGGAAGTTCATCTTGTTTCTGTCTTGAACTTGATGTTGATGGTGGTATTAACCTGAAGACATGGAAACTAAAATCAATCCTACAATTATTTGGCAATCTAGACTCCAAAATAAACACTTATCAATCCCCTCTAACAGCCTTTGTTCCTCCTCCTCCTTGGCACCGTAATCAAAGCCCTCCATTAAAAATTTGATTACAAAGTCAGAACATCATATAAACAACATGGGCAAAAGCATTCTGAAACAGAGCTTCTTACACAATATTTTCTGGCACGTCTTTGAGTGAAAAAAGTGGAGGCGGTAGCATCATCACATCATCCGGACCCAAATCCATTAGACCAGGTTTTTCTACAAAATCAAACAAACAGTTTACCAAAACAAAAAAATTCCCCGTTTTATATAAAAATGTAAACACTATACAAAAAACAATTGCTTTGAAAATATGGTTCCTTCATCTCACTATAATTCTTCCTTCTCTTCCTGCCAACATCAGCATGAACTCCAACAACATGCTGGTAATCTGCCATTCCTACAAAAAATTCCAAAAGAGAAAGAACCCCAAAGCAAGAATCAAACTTTATCCCTAATTCAATAAAAAAAAATAAAAGAAGACAGTTCCATACTAACCCTCAAAGTAATATGCCTCTGGTATTCTAGCAACAATATCAGCATGAAACTCATCTGTTTCTTGCTTTGCATCATTAATGAGACTGACTTCTTTTTAGTAATTTTCAATAACATACTGTGACAAGAATGAAGCTCTCCTGACACAGGATGTGAGTATGGATCCTTAGGGCGAAAATACAGTTTCAACTTATTAGATTGTGAACTACGAGCCTAATATGCCAAATTCAAAAAATTCACTACTAAAACAAATCACTTACACATAAGAAAGCAGAAAATAAAGGGTTGTCATTGGGACTTGGAGCTTGTTTGTTTTAAGTACCTTGAGAATTGATTCAGTTCCTCCAAGATTTTGGATAGCTCGAGATGTTAAAGAAGGATAGCCTGGATAATGAACTGCAAAACCCTCATTCCTTGGTATCAATCCACTTTCCCTTCTTTTATCTCTCCCATTCTTGTTCTTCTTGTCGCTCTTGCTCTTTGCAGCAGCTCCTCTTCAGAAAAATAAAAGGAAAAAAGGAAATGGTAATGTAGTTTTTCTCTCAAACCCCGAAAGAAAGAGCAAACAAATATAAAGTTATGGGCTCTATGCAAAAAGGAGCCTAATTTATGGTCTTCTGTTGAAAGCCGAAAGGCCTGACATTAGTCTAGCTTTTACATTTTTTACTACACCCCTTTCCTCCTTCCTTGGGTCTCTCTCTCAGTGGCATCATCATCAACCACTAGAGCAGCTGTTCCATATAGAAATTTGTGGTGCCACAAACCTGAGGATGGACAAGAAGAGAGGAGAAGGAAAGGATCCAAGTGAAAAGGAGAAAGAAGGCAGTGTTAAATTCAAACCTGAGGCTCATCAAACGCAGCAATTCTTAACCACTGACTCTTCCGGTAACTTTCTTTCTTTTCTTTTAGAGAATCACCTTATTTCAACTAAAAGATTTCAAATTTGCTTCAGATTCCAATTGGGGTAAGGAAATTTGCAGGAAAAGCCCAGAAACTGAAGCTTTTTGAGTCCAAGGTACATCATGGTTATAGAGACGTCATATTGTTAGTAAATGATAATTTAGGTGGTTGGGAGAATTTTTGGGAGTAGGGATTGACACCATGGGAATTAGGTTCAAATTATTGAAATCTTTCTTTTATAAATAGGGGCTGATAGTTCTATTGAAATCTACTCATTGATCATGTTGGGGGACCTCCTTATAAAGTATCAGTCTCTGTGCACTTCTCTACCTTCAGTTTTTTTCCTCTGCTTTCTAATCTTAATACCATAACCAATAAATTCTAGTTTGTCAGTTTATTCTATTCTTACTAAGAGTGAGTTTATCACCCTTTTTTTTTCCCAGTTCTGAAGAGGTGTTGCATCCCATGGGCTTCAAGGCTGCAACCATTGTTGATAATGAACTTGCAGTTGGAGCTTGGAAGGTGCATCAACAACGTTTTCTAGATAAAACTAATTCACGGTTTCCAGCTTGCAAAAACAGTCATGCTTTTCATGGAATACCGCTTAATTCACAAAATACTGTATTGTAAATTGATTGAATGTTAAAGTTGTCCATAATTTCTCCATTGCCATTCATTTTCCATATCATTTGTGAAGGGTCTGGATTCAGTCCAGTAGAGCAACCACCACCTGGTGTAGCACTCACCTTTTTTTTGCCGTGCCTTGTTGTGAACTACCTATTGTTTTTATCAAATTTATATATTTAGGAGTTTTGGTGAGAGTCACTCAATGGTTATGGGCATGCGAGATAGGGTTGGGCCAATCTGAGAGTATAGGGTCAGACTACTTCTAGCACGCTACATTAATTTCGAAGTCCTTTTTACCAATTAAAGTAAATCTATTATGTTTATGGCCCAAAAGCATATTGAAGATTTAACCACTCCCACTCCACCTGACTCTCGTTACAATGACATAGAAAGGAGTGCACTGTGCACGTTCATTCCATTTGCAAGATGGATTTTTAGTTAGTAGTTCTGATTTACATACTTGGACATGGCATATGATGTTTTTTTTCCCTCTAGCGCATAAGATTATTTGTTATTTTTTCTTGAAATTAATTTAGATTACACTGATGATTAGTAGAGGACGCTTAAGAAATGATGTTTTCCTTGACCATTGCTGCAGGGAAGAGAAAAGTTTGGAAGATGGAAGAGGTCTGCAACCTAATCCTAATGATGATTGTCATTCCCTCCAAAGGAGAGCACTTTGAAGATCAATATAATGAATCTCTTTGCTATATAAGAGCGACTCCATCCATTGTTTCCCATGGAACCTTTTTTTATAAAAATAATTGTTAAGATCTTATAATACTTTTGATGCAACATGCACATTCTCGATGACAGCTCGTTACTTTTACAACTCCAATCCCATTAGCATCAACTAATCAAGTTCAAACCACCTACCCTCTGGGAATATATTTATGTGTGAATGATTGTCCTGTTACAGTTCATTTATTAATGATAACAATCTCTACCTCTTCTGTCCTGTCCCAACGATATGGTAAATCATAACTAGGAGATGAAATAAACAAATTTAGCATGACTACCACGATTATGCCCTTCAAGTTCTCTACCCAGTAGCTTTTACAGTTGTGACTTGAGAAAACAAATTTAAAAAAAACTATAAATTTTAGTTTTTTTAAACCAAGATTTCAAGAGAATCTTTAATATGATCCATACAATATGTTAATTTAACAATTATTTTAAAGAGTATGATTGAGATGAAATATAGTTTCAATCATCCAGGCCATCTTAATGCCAAATACACACTAAATTTCACAATCACCTGTTCTTGAGAATGAATTGGGAAATCCTAAGGTTTCTCACATCGTTGGATAGCATATGGATTATCCTGGTTATGCTCATTATGGTTCCAAAAGAATTATCTAGCTTAAAATATATGATGCTCTTGTTGATAGAACAAACTATACATCCTTATCATCCCCAATGGCTAATAGTTTTGCTCCTTCTTAATACAAATTGCATGCCATAAAATTCATTACCATCTTCGACATTCTCTAGTGCTGACCTGCAAAACAAATATTTTGATATGATGTAATGTAATGCTAATTTTATAGTTTGTGTTTTAATCACACCCTCCTGTGCGATCATTCTCATGACCAAGTTGGGAGAGAGGATAAGTCAGTGTAAGAAATAAACAAATAATTAAACAACCTTAATTTAATTTCACATCTAATTGTATATCTGTAAGAGGCCCTGGAAAGCAATGCCAGCATTCCTGTCCTTACGCTGACCAGCATAATATGCCTAACTCTTCGCTCTCTCTATTTTCTGTCTATCTGCCTCTTCCTCTTGAACAACATCCCAACGTGCTCTCCTCTTTCCTTCTCCTTCGGATCCTTTCCTTTAGACTCCTTCTTCTTCTTCTTCTTCTTCCTCCTCCTCCTCCTCCTCCTCCTCCTCCTCCTCCTCCTTCTTCTTCTTCTTCCTCCTCCTCCTCCTCCTCCTCCCTCCACCTCCTCCACCTTTCAACCTTTCGACCTTTTCTTTTGAATATTTACTTATATCTGATCTCATCAATACACACACACAGCCCACCATCTTCATGGTCATCAATGGATCATGATAGAAACAATGACATTTTTGAAGATGAAGATAAAGAAGCTTTACAAGGCTTATCTCCTGTCCCTCCACCCCCGCGAAATATCCATTCTTATAGCCAGCAGCTCCGTGCCACCTCTTCAGGACCTACAGCTAAAAGACACCACAAAGGTAGAAAACACAGCCTTGATGACATCCCTATGCCTGTGGTTTCTGAAATTTTCTTTGACATCTCTTCCTCTGACGATGAATTCTTCCCTCATTCCTCTTCTCCTTCTAACACCACTCGTTCTCGCGGTGCCAGCGGTGAAGATTTCTTTGTTAGAGCTGACGATGATCAACTCAAGCAATTCCAACCATTGCCTGAGTTCATTGGAAATGGAAGTGGGACCGGAATCTTTAAGTATCCAGCACGTTCAGCCATGCACGGTGGACGGCCACCTTGTCTAGAACTTAGGCCACATCCTTTAAGAGAAACTCAAGTGGGGAAGTTTTTGAGAAACATTGCTTGTACCGACACACAGTTATGGGCTGGTCAGGAGTGTGGGGTAAGGTTTTGGAGTTTTGAGAATGCATACGAGGCTGGTTGGGGTTTAGGTGGGAGAGTGAGACGAGGTGATGAAGATGCTGCACCATTTTATGAGTCGGCGAATACCTCTCCTACATTGTGTTTAATGGCTGACAGTGCTAATAGATTGGTTTGGAGTGGGCATAAAGATGGGAAGATTAGATCTTGGAAAATGGATCAACATTTGGACGATGCTAATTCTCATTTTAAGGAAGGATTATCATGGCAGGCTCATAAGGGCCCTGTTCTTTCTATAGTTATGAGTTCTTATGGTAAGCCAGCTTTCTTCATTTTATTATATTGCTTTTGGAAAATGGTAATTAGATTTCAGTCTAATATTAAATTATGTTCTTGGGGGTTATGTAGGGTTAAGACATGGCATCTGAAATATGATTAAAAAATTCTAGGGAAAGACATGAGTTATTGTCA